CCCACACCCACACCCACACCCACACCCACACCCACACCCACACCCACACCCACACCCACACCCACACCCACACCCACACCCACACCCACACCCACACCCACACCCACACCCACACCCACACCCACCCCCACACCCACACCCACACCCACACCCACACCCACACCCACACCCACACCCACACCCACACCCACACCCACACCCACACCCACACCCACACCCACACCCACACCCACACCCACACCCACACCCACACCCACACCCACACCCACACACACACACACACACACTCACACACACATATACACACACTCACTTTCTCTCTCTCTCTCTCTCTCACACACACGTCCGAACGATGCCAAAACTTCCTTCTGCCCCTCCCTCCCTCCTACCCCTCCTCCGGCTCCTGCCCCTCCACCCCTCCGTCCTCACCTCTTTCCCTGCCTCCTTCCCTCCCTCCTCCGGCTCCTGCCTCTCCTCCCCGCCTCCCCCCCTCCCTTCCTCCTTTCCTCCTTCCCTCCGCCCCTCCCTCCCTCCCTCCCTTCGTCCCGCCCCTCCCTCCGTCCCTCCGCCCCTCCCTCCCTCCCCGCCTCCCTCCCTCCCTAACTCCTTGCCGTGATCCTCTTCGTCGAAGGCGCCCCGTCCTCCGTCCTCGCCCCCTCGCTCTCCCATCAGCTGCCGCCCCAGCTGGTATGCTCTGCCTGCCTCACTGCAACCCTGGTTGGTGGCGCCGTGCCTCCTTCCCTCCCTCCTCCAGCTCCTGCCCCTCCTCCCTCCCTCCTCCCCATCGGAGCCCCTGTCTTCCTTCCGTCCTTGCTCCCTCCCTCCCTTCACTCGACTGCCCAGCTGGTACTGTCTGCCTGCCTCACGTCAACCTTGGCTGGCAGCGCGCAGGAGGGGGGCAGGGGGAGGGGGGAAGGCTTCTGGGGAGGCTGCTTCCTGAAGGCGCCGGCCTCACATCCATAGGCAAGGCCAACGCCTTCTGAGAAGCAGGGGTGCTTCTAAAAACCCGTCCCCCCTCCCCCTGCCCCCCTCTGCGCGTGGCCGACTTGGTGCCCCAACAGAGCCCTTATCTCAAAATTAGTCTGCGAGCTGCGTGCCGGCCTCTGCTGACATGCTCACTGCTTCATCGGCGTCGAAATCCAACAAAAACCCTCCCCGTCCCCACGCTCATCCGTCCGCTTCGTCGTCCTTTACCAGCCTGGAACATATCCCTACCCCTAAGCTGGGCATCGCCTCGTCGCGATGCCAATCTTAGGGATCCCCTTCGTTTTTCGGGGCGCATCGCTGAGATTGTCATCGCCTCTTGGCGTGTCAATCTTAGGGTCTCAGGGATCAGTTCGAGACTGGTGAGCCCTGGCCCAGCATCGGCCTGGCGTCCACGGCGGCGGCGGCCAGGCTCGGCGGAGCGTTCCTGGAGCCGGCGCGGCGCTGCGCGCGACGGCGCCCGGGCGGAGCACGCGGGGGAGACGACGAAGCGGGGGAGGGAACCGAGCAGGACCTTGGTGGGTCCTGGAAGCGACAGGGCCGTTTTCTTACCGGTTCCGTTTTGCCGTTTTTTGCCGGTTCCGACGCCGTTATTTTACTGGTTCCGTCGTTGTTTGACTAGTTCTGGCTCCGGTTCCAATCCTGGAGCCGTTTTTGTTGCCGTTTCCAGTCGCCGTTTTTTTGCCGTTTCCAATTTCAAAAGGACATTTTGGGGGAAACGGTGAAAAACGACCCTGCCGTTTCTGGGGCCCAGAAAGAGCAGGATGTATGTGTGTGAAGTTAGGCAAACGGAGATCGACTTGGATCGTCGCGCCAGGATTGTCCAAGCAAGCGCTGCGCAGCGCCGAAATCGGATTGGGCGCTGTGGCCAGCAAACTAAAATGAAGGCAACTACAGACAGCAGATGGGCAGAGGGAAATTGAAAAGATGTTGCCCCCGCAAGGCCGTGGAGTAACTAAGCAAACAGCCCTTGAAGAAGTATGAGGTCTATCATCATAGCTCTCACCATAACCTATAAAGACCAAGCAGAGAGACTCATCCTCATGACTCCTATTTGTCTCCAGGCCTCCTCCTCCTCCTCCGCCTCCTCCTGCAAGGGGTCGGGCAGGTAGCGGAGGGAGCGAGGGGAGGAACAAATGGGGCGGGAGGACAGACTTGCAATCTCGCACGGCGGTGGTCCATCAGGAAGGGGAAACAATCGAATGGGAGAGCTGGAGGGGGGGAAGCGAAATCGGCAATTGGGCAAGTAGGGGGAAGGGAGGCAAGAATCGAATGATCGGGGGATGTGGAGAAATCCCCCCTCGACGCACCCTGCTGCGTGTATCCCCCCCACTCCCCTCTTACAAACCATGGGCATGCACTCCCGACGTCACGATGCCTCTAACAGAAAAAATGATCCGAGCTCCCGAGGCCACGATCCCAAGTAAGTAAAACTGGATCCGCGCTCCCAGGCCTCCACGAGGCCGAAGCAAGCAACCAAGACTGCCAAGGTGGCCCAATGTGCCTCCAATGTGCTCCAAGATGGCCCCAAGCTGGCCCAACCAATATGGCGGCAAGACGGCGCAAGAGACCCCGCCAAAGGGGGCCCGAGAGGGCCTCAGATGGGAGCCCTAGCGGGGCCCGAAGATGCCCAAATCACCGAGCTCTCCCAAAACAGTGCTTGCCCTTAGGGTTGTGGATGCCACGACAATGGACACCCTCACAGTCCCATCATTGAATATAACATGTGTTTAAAATGTCGAAAGATGTGTTAAACATGTTTTGATTATGTTGTTTTACATGTTCAAAAAAGCTTGACACATTATTAGACATCTTGTTGTTGCACCGGCGGCGTTGCGGCGCCATGTGGACCAGGTGGCTGCACTGCCAGGCTCTTGAACAAGACTGCCGAACCAAGATCATCTTTGTTTCTCGGCATGCGACAAGGACGGTGACCGACCGTCGTGGACGTTGAAGCGGCAGTTTAGCAATGCAAGGGCCTATCCTGCCAAGTTCTGCGCCGAGGGCAAGCGCCGAGGAGGAGGAGGAGGAGGAGGAGGAGGAGGAGGAGGAGGGAGGAGGAGGAGGGAGGAGGGAGGAGGGAGGAGGGAGGAGGGAGGAGGGGGAGGAGGAGGAGGAGGAGGAGGAGGAGGAGGAGGCCGTAGCCATTTTGGCTCAAGTCCGTAGCCATTCGGCTCATGCACTTGGCCTTTTTGGCGTGGGGGAGGCGCGCCCCCGCCAGTGATCCTGCACCAGGCAACTGGTTCAGATACCTTTTGTGAGCTCATGCTGGAGCAACTCCCTTGAGGAGGACGACGAACCTTCCGAGTCTGTCCAGTTTCTGCCTCCTGTTACTCCCATGGCTCCTCCTGCGGCCGTTCCTGCAGGGCGCCCGCCGTGGCACAACACTGTTCCCCCAGCCTGGGGGGGGCAATGGCGCGAGTGGAGAGACATGGGTCCTGGCGACTACGAACGTTGGAAAGAAGTTGGAAGGGCACCTGCCTGTGCCAAGTGCGGGTGCAAGAAGAATGTTCGAGACAGCTTGTATTGCAAAGCATGCGGCCACAAGCTATCCGACTTGTCCCCTGCAGCAGCACCAGGACCTAGAGGAGTCTGGGGCGATGCTGGCCAACCACAGCAGCAAGATGATGTTGGCAAAGGCGGCAAGAAGGGCAAGGGGCGTAAGGGCAAGGGCAAGGGTCAGGACGACGCGAGTGGAGGAGGCCCAGCCTTGCCTCGGGCGCCAGGGGCCCAGTTCCTGGTGGCCCAGCCTAAGGAAGCGAACTCTGACATGGAGATCAACGACCTGGAGCAGCTGGTGGCGATGTTGGAGCGAGCTGGTGACACAGGAGGGTCCTCCTTGAGAAGAAGCGCGAAGCGGCTGAGAAGGAGCACGTCGCTCCACTGTCCCAGCGGGTCACCTTGGCCCACAAGCAGGTGGCGGAAGTCAATCAGAAGTTGGAGAACGCTGTGGCCCACTTCGGGCGCCTCTCTGAGGGGCTCGAGCACCAGCGCCAGTGGGTGCAGCAGCTTTCGGACGAGCTTGAGGAGCGCGAGGCGGCGCGCCGCAGCCTGGTGGTGGAGCTCAATGCGAAGTTCGTACCGCCGCAGCAGGACGCCCAGCCCCAGGCGCTCAGCGTGGCGGGCATCTTGGACGGCACGATTGAGTCGATCCCTCTGTCCTTCGCGGGCCTGGGCTTCGATGATGCAGAATATGACATGGAGGGGGCTGACAAGCGCGAGCTGGCTGACCGCGCAGCTAGACTGCAGTCTGAGCTGTCGGCGGCGGTCCGAGCCATGTTCGGGCAGGCGGCTGAGAAGGCCAAGGCGTTCAAGACCGAGCAGGAGCAGATGACACTGCGCCTTGCAGGCAAGCGCAGACGTCAGGAGGGAGGTGGGGCTGCTCCGGGTGACGAACCCAAGCCTGGTCCCGCCGCTGGGCAGCCTGAAGGTGATGGCGCTGCAGCTGCCGCGGCCGCTTCAGAGCCAGCGCCTGGGACGCCAGTGGCAGGAGCTGCGGAAGGTGATGGGCTCAAGCAGCGGACCGCCAGGATTTGCCGCCCGCCGCCTCCTCAGGCTACTGCAACAGCCTGAGGGGGCCAGCTCCTCACGAAGGGGCGCCGCTGGTGATCGAGCTGGCCCAGCAGCGCGGGGCGGTGCAGATCGGCCCGCCCCTGGCTCCATGGGGCTGCCGCCGCCAGAGCCCATCGACGAGGGCGGGCCCGAGGCGGTCTTCTACGACGGTATCACGGAGTCGGCTGCCAGATGGACTCCTCGTCTGCATTCGCCTGAGCCAGGGGCGGACAGCTGGATGAGGTGGTGCAAGCCCTACGTCAGGGAGCTGCTCCTGCAGGCCTGGGACCTTGACTGGGTGCAGGAGGACGCCAGGACATGGCCGTAGACCAGATGGCGGAAGACATCTGCACGGAGTCCTGGCATGATGGAGCTGGTAATCGTGTAAACATCCTCGGCTTCTTTGACTGGGCTGCGGAGCATGACAGGGAGATGCTGCGCTGGGCCCTCCGCCGCCACTGGGAGGAGCTGCGCAGGATCAAAAATGAGATGAGGGACCTGCTGGGCCTTCCTCGTGACGAGGGTCAGCGGACCTCCGACGTGACTGAGGTCGATGTGGAAGCTGCGCTGGCGACTGGCGCTCCGACGCTCACTCCCAAGAGACCCCTGTGCGGTGCTCCTCCAGCTGCGCCCCTGGAGGAGCCGAGGGCAGCGACTCTGTCGCGCCCTGGCAGCACCAGCGGAGTCTTGGGAGCAGAGCGGAGACCGACTACGTCGAGTTCGGCTGGCGCCCCGACGCTCACTCTCAAGAGACCCCTGTGTGGCGCTCCTCCAGCTGCGCCCCTGGAGGAGCCGAGGGCTGCGTCTCTGCCGCGCCCTGGCTGCATCAGCGGAGTCTTGGGAGCAGAGCGGGGATCGTCTGGATCACCGGCCGAAGCTGACATGCACAGAGGTTTTCACATTGATGTGTAGCAGGTCCCCCCTTGTTGAGACAAAGCCACAGGGGTGGCTTGCGGAAGCGTCCAACCTCTCAGTCTGGTCGGCCCTGCACGCGCGTCTCAGTGCCTGGGTCGGACTTGTCAGGAAGTCGAAGCCCATAGGCAAAGCAGTAGCTGGATTCAAATTTGCTTTGGCCAGAGTTCAGAAGCTGCCGAGGCTTCTGGAAGAGAGGAAGGAGGAAGAGGTGCTCTCTGCCTGCTTGGGGATCAGGCCCCCAGGGAGACCCTGGAGGCTGGCCACAGGATGCTTTTTCTGATTCTGAGGCGAGTTGAAGCCCACTTCACTCGGCAATCAGCCAGAGGATTTAAGGACTGGCTGCGCCATTCCCTCACTAAGGGGAGCGGAGCCATTCACTTTCACACCAAGACTTGGGGCGCGGAGGCCCCGAGCCTCAGCCTTGAGCGCGACCCGAATGGCAGAGTTTTGCACGACCCCACCGAGTCCCTTGCGTCAAAAGCGGAACTCTGGGGAGGGCTGCGGCTTTCTGGTCCGAAGGAAACTGAGCCCTCTTGGTGGGGAGATTTTCGGGCCAGGGCTTCTCGTGATGCCCAGTCGCGGGAACCCCTCTCCAGTCACCATGTTGCGCATGCTCTCAAATGTTTCAAACCTGTTGTTGGGCAGGGAGCTGACTTCCAGAACCCGTGTGATTGGTTGCAGCTCCCACCCGAGGCCCTCCAAGAGCTTGTAGACCTCCTCAGGCTAGTAGAAGCCGAGCTCGCCTGGCCTCCCCAGCTCAGGCTCATCATCAACCAGCTAATCTTTAAAAGTGTAGTTGCAGACCGACCGATAGCGCTAACCCAGGGCCGTTACCGAGTCTGGGGCAGAGTGCGTCGGCAAGACATACCGAACTGGACGGTCGAGCGGGCTCAGCATTGGGATCGGGCGGTGAGGGATTCTTCGGCTCTGCGAGCTGCCATACTTCGGCAGACCCAGTGT